GCTTTTTCTGACAATGCCGAGCTAATTTTTCTATATAGTATTTTAGTGGCCAATTAAGTTTGTTTCTATTTATAGTAGACGACGCGGGTCTCGCGTCTTGCTCAGTGGCTCGTGTGTAACTCTCTGAGGCTCCTCTGAGAGGACTCTGCCCGCCTCGGCCTCCCAAGAGCTGGGATGCACCAGATGGCGTGAGCTCCTCAGCCGGCCCCCTCCTCGCGTGAGGTTCTTGAGGCTAGGACAAACCCCGATGGCAAAACCAGATCCTTCTTTGAACTCGTGGAGAAAACTGTGCCACGTGTGACTAATGTAAAAGTCCAGAGCGAATTTATTTTTTTGCTCGTTATGTAGGGTTAAGTTTTTGGCCTCTGGCTTCTCCTTCTGTGCACGCCCACGTGGTTTTCTTCAGATCCTCTTGAAATCTCTGAGGCTGGGAACGGCCCGACGGTCATCCTCAGGCTGCCCCCGTCCCCTTCGCGAGCCGAGAGGCCGAGCATGGAGGTCGTGTATAACATCACCTCTTCTGCAGCCGGCCCAGTGAGCCGCCGCAGGATCCGGCGTGGGTCTCCCGTCTTCCACCAGTTACCTCATCTGGTGTGCGGCCTGGTTTGACGAACCCCGCAGCCCATCTGCTCACCCACAGCGCCGTTGTTAGGGTGATATTGAGTTGGTTCAGTTGTTTACACGCCTTGCTCCTTCCTCAGTGGTTTTATCTATTTTAATATTCTATTTTATTCTATATTTGATTTTATTTTTTTTATTTTTATTTTTGATTTTATTTTTTAATTTTTTAATTTAATTTTGTTTTATTTGATTTTATCTTTATTTTTATTTTATATTATTTTATTTTTTTGATTTATTTTTTATTTAATAATTTTAGTTTTATTTGATTTTTTATTTATATTTATTTTATTATTTATTCTATTTTTGATTTATTTTATTATTTTAATTAATTTTAGTTTATTGATTTTTTTTATTTTATTTATTGATTTATTTTATTTTTGATTTTATTTTAATTTTTTAATTAATTTTATTTTTATTTGATTTTTTTATTTGATTTGTATTATTTTTATTTATTATTTTATCTATTATTTGATTTTTATTTTTATTTTTAATTTATTTATTTTTATTTTTATTTATTTATTTTATTTATTATTTTATTTTATTTATTATTTTTTTTTTTAATTTTTTATCTTTTTAATTAATTTTAGTTTTATTCTATTTTTATTTTTTATTTATTATTTTTATTTATTATTATATTATTTTATTTTATTTTTTTTTATTTATATTATTTATTATATTTTTTTAATTTGTTAATTTTATTTGATTTTGATTTTTTATTTTATTTTATTTGTTTTATTTTTTGATTTTATTTATTTTTGAGACAGAGTCTCACTCTGTCCCGGGGCTAGAGTGAGTGCCGTGGCGTCAGCCTCGCTCACCAGCAACCTCCAGACTCCTGGGCTCAAGCGATCCTCCTGCCTCAGCCTCCTCCCGAGTAGCTGGACTACAGGCATGCGCCACCCCACGGCCCGCTATTTTTTCTATATAATGTTAGTTGGCCAATTCATTTGCTATTTTTAGTAGAGACAGGGGTCTCGCTGCTCTTGCTCAGGCTGGTCTCGAACTCCTGACCTCGAGCGATCCTCCCGCCTCGGCCTCCCAGAGTGCTGGGATGACAGGCGTGAGCCACCGCGCTGGCCGGCCTCTTCTTGGATAACCGGAGAGCCGGGGTCCCTGAGGACGACAGGCCCCCGCCTCTCCCGTCCCCCCAGTGAGCCTGGAGGCCGTCACTGCGGAGGCTCACGCTCAGCCCCTTCCTGGCAGGGACCGTGGAGCACAGGGACCAGCCTCACTCCCCCGTGCGGCGGTTCACGCAGGACGACGTGAACCAGGGCAAGATCCTGTACCGGCCCCCGCCGGCGGCCCCCCACCTCCGGGAGATCACGGCCTTCTCCTTCGCAGGTGAGGCTCCCTGTACTCGGCCTCGGGGCCCGGGTGCTCTCTGGGCCTCTTCCCCCAGCCTCCCCTACACTCTTCCCTCCGTGCTACGGACCGTGTGGTGAGGCCGCTGCTGGCCTGGGTGCGGAGAGACCCGGGAACACACCCGCTCCGCTGGTGGGACTGCAGACTGGCCCAGCCTCCGCGGGAAGCAACCTGGAGACGCCTCACGGGGATAGGAGGTGGCTGTGAGCGAGGCTGATGCCTCGGTACTCACTCCAGCCCGGGCGACAGAGTGAGACCCCGTCTATACTATAAATAGAAAGAAATTAATTGGCCAACTAATATATAGAGAGAGAAAAAATCAGCCGGGTGCGGTGGCGCACGCCTGTAGTCCCAGCTACTCTAGAGGAGGCTGAGGCAGGAGGATC